CTTTCATCTATAAATCATGTTTAATATCAAGGTCTGTGGATGCATTTACTATGCTTTAACCTTGATAATATCATGGCATCATGCATTTTCCTCTATAATTATGAAATATATTTTTATGAAAGACATTTTTAATTTTTCTCTTAAACGAAAATTATTTTCTTTTTCAGATTTCTTAAAGAATTTTTTCATAAATAGTATTGTTAAGATAATAAAAATTGCAAATATAAAGTATTTATAATAATTAAAATAATTAATACAATTAAAAAAATTACGAAGCGTCATTGTAACAACAATGACGCTTCGTAATTTTTTAATTGTAGCCTACTTATAAGTGCTTAAATATAATAGTCATATATCTTTCCATTAATTTATATATATAATTTTTAATTTAAAAAGAAAAAAATGTATAAAAGAATATAATTAAAATATAGATATGTAATTAAAAACATACCTCCCAGTGACGTTTAATCCATCAAATTTATGAATTCTTAAACTATATGGCCACACCCAAGGCCGATATATATATTTTATTCAGAGAATATTTTTCATGATTAAGTTCAACCAAATCAATTCATAAAGATTAGCAAATATATCAGGGTGTATTCAATTCACATTTAAATGTGAACTTCGTTTCTACTTCCTTTCCGAAAAATTAGCATTAATGTTCTATGAATAGAAAAGCTCTAAGGTCAATACACTGGACAAATTTCAATTAATTATTCGAAAAATTAAAACGCTATATAAAGGAAATTTTGATAAAGTTTGCTTTCCATATTTTCATTTTATGGAAAGAATTGAAAAAAAAAATTATTATTATTATTATTAGAACAATTACGTTCCGAATCAAAATTATGGATAACGAAAGTTCGGTAATATGATAATTTTCATACAGTAATTAGGCTAATTTAGATTGCTTAAGATACATATTTGATTTAGCAGGAATATTATGCATTTCGGTTTAGTTAAGGACCTTTGTAGGCTTTTCTTACGATGAACGAAAGAATAAAAGATTTTTATTACTTTAGGATTTCTTGCATCTTAATGTAAGAAATCTAATAAGATGACATCAGTTGTCAAAGTATTCATCTCATTGTTATTTTCTGTATCCAATATAAGATTGTAAATGCATTCCAGAGTAAATGCAACAGATCATATAATCTAGCGTAAAAGTTTCACTTGCCACTCATACGCTTGAAATGTCGTTTACTGACCGAGCACTGCGTTGAATTCACAATTATTCTAGATTTGCTGCGATAATACCCTAACTCCATGAAGCTATGAAATGAATAGAAAAGTTTAAAATGTATTATACGTTAACAGAAAACTGAAATACAAGTTTTGGTTCGGAGAATAAATTGATTTTTTTATCAAGAGGAAAGGTAGAGAGTTCGAAAAAAAAATTTTTCCAGCAAATGTTGCAATTCATTCCTTCGATTTCTATTAAATTATTTAATAATAAAAAATATATAATTTTTTTTTTTCGATTTAATGTACTTTTAAATGTGTAGTTATGTAATAATATTTTTCAACAATAAAGAGTAAGCCACGACACACATTGAACAACTACAAACGAAATACTTGACATTTGAGGATTATAAATACTGTATATACTTAAAATAGAAGCTATAATTTCTATGGGGAAAATGTTAACTAAACCTTTAACAATGTTGAATTATTTTTAATTATATTAACTGAGTAACTGAAATACATGTGTTTTTAGTTTGCAGTTCTTAGAAAATTTAATATATATATATATTTATTTATTTATTACCTATAATGACGAGTTATCAAATTCAATTTAATTTATATGTTTGCACGTTTCATTTCTCACTTAAATAACTAAAAGTGAAATTGCAACGATTTTGAATTTGATTGATTTTAAGTATTTCATATAACATACAAGAGCATTATTAAATGACGAATTAATTAATTATACTTCAAGTGTAACTAAGAATTTATAATCTCAAATTAATGGAATATTTGTAAATTTACTTTGTGTGTACCATTTAATGTATGTATTGTTTTAAATTCTCAAGTACTCGTTCAACTCGGATCTCCTTTAAAACGGACTATTAGAAAAACACAACACGGGTTAGAGAGATGAGTTACGTGTTAGGCACTTAGCATGTAAAAATAATTCCTTTGTATATAAATTAACTGCATTTTAAGTAACTGAATTTAAATTAATCATCACATAAAAAAATCAATACGTAATACTCTAACATGCAACGCAGATAAAAATGTTTTTCGAATCGTAACTATAAAAATTTGCATCTTAAAGCAATAATTTTTACATCTTTTTTTATGTTTTCGATTTACTGACTTTTTTTTTTATGTATAGTACAATTTGAAATTTATTTTTGATACAATTCATGTAAAATTAGCTCCGTAAAAGTTAGACTTCTTAATGCATTCTTGTCAACTGTTTTTATCGGTTATTTTAGTTCAGGGGCCGATCTGTCTATAGACTCTACAACTGTAGCCAAGAGGCCAGCAGCACTGAATGCACCTAATTTGGCACAAGGAACTGCTTTTCTTGTTCGAATTGTCAGGGACGGCTTAACTTAGTATTGTATGTGTGACTAGTGCACGTGAGATTGTTACCACCTGCACGTTATGAAATACTTTCCAATTTGCAAAACACTTACTAATACAGATTTAATTATGGCAGTACACAATATTTTTACATCAAAATGTGCTAGATACACATTGAAATTTTGCCAATTTTTCTTTAGAATATAAATTTTTGCAATAATTATTTATTTTATTTTGTTACATAATTGTTATAAATAATTTAAAAACTTTTTAATAAAATTATAACTTTATTATTATGTAAAATTATATACTGTAGTATATAATAATGTAGAGTTTAAAGGTTTTATTACGAACTTTGATAGCTCCATTTTTGTTTTAAATCAAAATTTCTTTCTTAATTAAAATGTTTTACACATATCAGAAACTTGTTTTTTTTTTTATAATTTATAAAAATAGTTTATTAAAATTTAATTCCTTTACAACGTATGTGTAATGTGTGTATAATTTAGTAATATCTTATGTTACTTTGTTATGAAGGTTAAGATAAATATCCATTATGTTATTAACCTTAATTCATAATCTTTCCAACCACTTTATGTAATTTACGAATGATCCCTAATACTATTTTTATACTTTTCAACTACCATCCCATCCCTGTAACTCTGAAAAACTGTCCTGTATACCCACCACAAAGTTATGAAATATATATCCTTGATCAATCCCCTTAATTGTACTAAAGACTAATATAATACATAGCACTATGTACTGAATAAATGCAAATATGTACAAGTTCACTAAGCAACACTTCAGAAACAAAAATGAATCATTATTAATCAAGAGTTGAGATCCTAGCATTACATAACATTTTTATAAACATTCCCCACTTCATTGTAATGTATCATAGCAATTAGGGTTGTTAACTTACACAATAATAAATGCCAAACAGTGTGAAAAAAAACTTGAAAAAGTGATGAGCAAAAGAAAATCCCATAATCTTGAGAACACTTCCTTCTTCTGATGAGGAGGTGCAGTCAGCCAGATAGCCAAATGGTTAAGGTGTCAGCCTATATCTCTGGAGGATCCAGGAACAAATCTGGACAGGTCAAAAAACTTCAGGAAGTTTTTTCTGGACTGTCAATCTTTGTCCTTTGCCACCCTTCCATTTAACATTATGGATCTGGTGGTGATAGTATGATTAAAAACAGGACTTTTTAGTATTCACAGGATGGAAAGAGACAAAAATGTGAACTAATGGGAATGAAAATAGCATGGACTACAATTAGTGGTATAAAGGAAAAGAGACAATTTTTTTAAAAACTATTTTTCAAAATGCTGGTTTTTGTTTTCCTAACAACTTTTAAAAAATAGAGTTGCCAACTGTTTGGAATTTCAATCCTACCACCCACCTATATTTGCATTCAGGGCCTAATTTGGCACAAGGCAGGCATGGCACTTGCCTGGGGCCCATAATAGGTTCTAAACATGCCATTGTTTTATTAGTATTGCAAATTACTATACTATTAGCGCCATATTCAAGGGTTAATAATTGAGAATAACATTACCTACTGCTCTGACATCTAATAACATCACTGAGAATTAGATAATGTTTGTATATGCGCATTAGATCTGTTTGAAGTTCAGAATAAAGCAGCGTTTGTTGAGAAAAATATAATGTTTATTGCTGTATAATTTTATTGTAGCCCCAAAAATACAATATAAGTAAGATATTCAGATGTAAAAATAAAAATACTTTAATTTTAAATATTACAGTTTTATTTATATTTGTAGTAATACAAAATTTGTAAAGGGCCCGTAAATATTATTTTACCTAGGGCCCGTGAAGGTCTAAATTAGTCACTGTTTGCATTACATAAGTTATGGGCACTCCTTATCTTGATTTCAGATTTTTTTAAGCTTCTAATTACAGTACATGAATTTTTATACCATTCTATTAAATTTATTTATTTTAATAAAAGTAAATAAAATCAGAATAGTTTAATGACAATTTTAATATGAGCAAAAATTCAAGAACAAGACAACTTTAATAATCTTAGTATAACAATATTTGATAAAGATATAACATTAATGTGGACAGTCATCAGGCATTATATATTTAAACAAAATAAAATTTCATAAGGATGATATTACAAATCTATAACAATATTAGCCATGCTATAATATTGCAAATAAATAATTAAATAAAATTTGTAATTTTATAAAGTTTATTAGTAATAATTCTTTTAATAATGCATAATTGTAATAATAATCATAAGTTCATACTTAAAGGTTCTCTGTAATAAAGTTATTACATTATTAAATTAATATTTTTACTTTACTGTTATTTCATGTAAATAATCTTTAGTAATTATGATTGTTTGAAATAATTATTAAAATTAAGATATTAACCATAATCAACATTATTTTCTTTAATTTAAAGCATCCTTATTGATTTCTTATTAATATAGATTTTATTAGTAACCAGCAGTAGAACTCCAGATAGATGGATTGTTCCTGGTGGAGGACTAGAACCAAATGAAGATTCCAGGGTAGCTGCAACAAGAGAAGTTATGGAAGAAGCTGGTGTTAGAGGAAAATTAGGGAGATGTCTTGGTGTTTTTGAGGTTGGTAAAGTTTTTTTTCTTCATAATGTGAATTAAAATTTTTTTCATTATTATATCATATCACTTCCCCCCATATTATTCTGTCATAAAACTATATAGTTTGCAAAATAAGAATAACACACTTTTCTATCTTTAAAAAAAAGAGCATGATTTACATACAATAGTGTAAGATAAATTATGTGAGAAAATAGCATTACATTTTAAATCTGATGATTATTTTGAAGTTATAGATCTTGAATGATGATATAAAACATGTACATATATACATAAATTATATGTATTTATGGTACCATATACATAAAATAAGATAAAAATAAATTATGAATCAAACAGCATGGCCATTATATTTAATCTTTAAATTTGTGTAGTCAAGCTGCTTTCTATAATTCAAACATTTTTTTGTGATGCAAAAAACAGGAATAGATTTATTAAAAATATCATTGTAATAATTAAATCTAAAATGTAATATGTTCCTCTTGTTTGAGTTTTGTTTAATATTTTTTAATGAAAGTGTTAATATTAACTTACAAGCTGATAAACATTTTTTTTATTCTACAAGTTGTTGCCATTAACTTTAAATCAAATTTGCTGGAAATGTCAGTCAAACAAATGAAATATGTCATTTTGTTGATTATAATATATATATATTTGTTTTATTTAATTTTGCTTATCTGAAATTGAAATGCATTTTAGAATCAATGGGTTCTTCAATTCAATGTCCAAAACTACAGTCAGAAATCATTGCAAGCAGACCACATAATGCATTTTGCACTACTTGCTCAACTATTACATTGCTAAATGGTCATAATGATTCAAATAAAATTTGCTGGTAATGGGCATTAAAATTTACTTTTTAACATTTTGCACTACTTGCTCAACTATTAAATTGCTAAATGGTCATAATGATTCAAATAAAATTTGCTGGTAATGGGCATTAAAATTTACTTTTTAATGTTTTTAAAATGTCTTCAAGACAAGTTTATGATACAGCATTAAAACTAGGGTTTCTCCAATGGGATCCCAGGAAATCCTACAAATTTCTTAAAAGTTCACTTTTTTCTTATTTTGTGTTAAGATTGAGGAAATTTTGCAAATAGAAAGTATAATTAACTCATAAACTGTCAGAATACATTTGTATTTATTAATTTTTAAGCCTGCTTATTAGTTTTTTAAAGTTTTGCTTATTATGGCATGTCACAAATTGTCAATAATCAATATGTAGCTTATTTATGGCAGGTCTCTGAAAATTTTTTACTTGTCAGAGCCTGCAATATCTTAAATAATTGTGATAATGCTCTCTTAATTTTTAATCATGCCAGTAGCTTTGATAACTGAATTATGCCAGGTTGTGCAAATTGGGCAAGAATACAAACAAGTACAAAATATACAAGTATGAAGTTTTTCTTCACAAACCTAATTATTAAAGTCAAATGAACTGTCAAATTATCAGGCTGTAAGCTTGATGCCACTATGAAAGTAGCTGAGGTAGACAAATCAAGAATACTAGAATGCAAAAGAAGTATTGTAATGCATTTCGAAAACGAACTTGAAAATCACATAACATCAGTCTTCTCTTAAATGCATTAAAGATGATTCCACCAGCATTAATTGAATCAGAAAAGCAATTCTCAATAGCAGGACTTTTCATTTCTAAAATAAGAACCAGACTGAGGGATCAGAATATTGAACATCTTTGCTTTTTAAAATCTTACAAAATATTATTCTAAATTTTTATGTTCTATTTAAAAAACGAAAATTACCTTCTAAGTTAGAAGTTTGATCTAAGTTCATTTCTATTTAAATTTTCGACTTAATTCAAAGGCACTTTTTGTTGAAAGCAGTTTCTAACAAACTTTAATAAATTTTTTTCTATTTGTGAAAATTTCTATGTAATTCAAAAGCAATTTTTTTATACATATTTTACACAGCATTATAAATATTATTTTGGAGCTTGCAGGATGTATTAAGTTACTTAAAAATGAAAAATAATTATCTCATTTGATTTTAAGATTTATTTTATATCTTAAAAATAATTAATTATATCCCGGGAAACAGTTCACTTTTTTCTGGAATCCTGGGACAAGCAAAAGTCCAGGAAATGAGAAACCCTAATTAAAACAAAGTTATTATATATGCAGAAGAGCTTGAAAATTAATTTGCCAAACATTACCTAATTTATGACAAGTACATTGCTTTTCTAATTTGTTACTTAATGAAACTTAATTATTTAAAAATTTTGATCATTTCCAACCATTTGAGATGTTCCGGGGGTGGTAAGGATGATATGTACTCCGGTGAAGTCCACCATAATATCCGGGTTTCATCGCATAAGGGGAGAGTTTTAATCATATGCACACCACTCAACTGGTTAATGTGAGTTGCACTGTTTATATTTAAGCTTCTTGTTCTGTTTTAATACCAATTGAAGGATCTAAAGTGTAGTGTCATTTTGTTATGGACTTATCAAAAAGTAGACATTGGCGACAACAGGAATAAACAAAATTTTATTTTGTATATGTATTACGAAGATGCATTTCGGACGTCAAACCCCTCTTCAGATAAATTCTTAGATTTATCTAATATTATAAGTATACTAGATTACAATATTGCTTAAGATTGTTTTACAAAAAAATTACTGTAATTATATTTACATTTTACCTGTGTTTTGTAGACATTTAGTTGTATTATTTCAAACATGTTTCTATTTATCTTAAACATAAATTAATATAAATACAAAGAAGGAAAAAATTTTTGGTTTACTTGCTTATGAGAATATCTTTACTAATTTATCTAATAAACAACAAATAAGAACTTAAGATATGCTTCTTACATTTTAAGCAATGGGTAGAGTTTTCCTTCATCATCATTGTGTTTTTAACATCTTTACTGTTTTTGTCCTTTTGAAGTGAGAGGACGGTAGCCATAAACAACCTATAGGGTGCACTGACAAGTTATATAATGTCTGAGACATATTTTTATTTTTTATTTTTATCTTTTTGCTGCAATTTGAAAAAATTGTAGACCCTATAAATTCCCACTGTCGTCTGTCTGTCTTTCCTTAATCTCAAGAACAGAGTTAGATAAATGAAAGCTGAGACCAGATATGGAAAGATTAGGGGAAGAGGCCCTGATTAATTATATACAAACTTTTGATGCAAAGTAGAAGTTAATTCAGTTCAAAAATTTCTCCTGAAAGGTGTTAGATAGATGACCAGCACAAGTCTATTGTTAAAGGAAAAGTATTATGTACAGGGGCAAGCCCCTACTAATTTGAGGTAGAGAGCATATATTTTAAATTAAAAGTATGATTAAAAATTGCAGCCTGCCATTGTGATGATGTCACAATAAAATAATTGCTCATTATTGATTGGAAATAAATTATCAATTGCTTTAATAAACACATTTCTCTTAATTATGAAAAACAATAGTATACTTTTACTAACTTCTGGAACATAACCCTATGTTTTGCATTAGTCCTTTGTTTCATATAGCATGGATTTGCATAACACGGCACTTTTTTGAAATGTATCTACTGTGTTTTACTAGGGATATCTGTATATTTATTTAACATTTTATACATACCTACATACATAAAAGAAGAATTGAGAGAAAATAATTGATCTACAATCCAACACTAAATGAGCAATTATTTATTGTGACATCATATGCTGCAATTTTTAATATTTTTAATTTATTTAATTTAAAATATATGCTCTCCATCTCAAATTAGTAGTGGCTTTCCCCTGTACATGATATTTTTCCTTTAGCAGTTGAGTAGTGCCTGTCATTTATCTCACTCCTTTCAGGGGAAAATTTTTGAATTGACTTCTGGTTTGTGTCAGAAGTTCATATATAGTTAATTGGGGCTCTCTGCCCCTAAGGTTTCCATGTCTGGTCTTGTCTTTCATCTATCTAACTCCATTCTCAAGATTAAGGAAAGACAAACGGATGACGGACAACAGTGGAACTTTATAGGTCTACAATTTTTTCAAATTGTAGTCCAATTAATTAACAATCACAATTAAAAATACTGTATTACACATTAATATTAATTTTAATTAAATGAGGGCATTTTCTTTTTTCAAAGTATCATCATTGTCTTTTGTTATTGATTGGAAGTATCAGCACCATTTTCATTTCTTTTTTATCATAAGAAGATTTTTGTGGATAACAAAATAAAAATATTTTTAATCAAAAGTTTGTTCTAGAATGTTACATTTGTTCAGTTAAGTACTGAGCATCTTTTTTTCAGAATTTGTGTTCAAGTACCGAATTGTTCAAGTACTGAGATACTGTTGTATTTTGTTCATCATTTTATGAATGATTGCTTACCTACAGTTAAAAAAGTTTGATAACACTTATCTAAAAATGTTTAATCTTCATATTTAGTAAAGTTTATTTAATCTATAAAAAGAAAACACAGAGACAGTCTTAAGGGCTAAAGTTGAAAGTAATGACCACAACATCTGGTTGATAGTCTTCATTACAGTAAACCTGATGAAAGGCACAAAACAAATTGAAGATTTCAATATTTTAAATCTGTGAGCAAATTTGAGACAACATGCATGCTTACTTGAATAAAGAAAAATATTGAATAACGAAGTTTACACTTAAAAATTGTGAAATTTTGTATGGAAGATTTCCAAAACTATGTTAGAGTGAAACCGGAAGTCATGTTGTATAGGGGATATCTGCAATTTTCAAATCATGTTAGAGCAAAACAGTGTTATAGAAATACCATATTGTATGAGGGATACCTATAATTATTTACTTAACATCTAAATTAAAGATGACAAGATAATATTGTTTAGTTTAGTTTTATTTTTCTGTAAGATTTTAAAAGCAAATCAAATTTTTGTTGGTGTGTGTATTATCTCTGTAGAATTTTTGGAATTTAGGAAATCTGTCATATTAATTGTCCTTTTGAATTGTCAACTTGAATCCAATATTAAGTTTGGGGTGATTTCCAGCCATTTTTTTTATATCCCTGTGTAATAATCTCAACAGAC